CGCCCCAGCAGCAGCAGCCCCAGCAGCAGCAGCCCCTGGAGCAGCCGCCTCAGCAGCAGCAGCACTTGGAGCAGCCGCCTCAGCAGCAGCCGCCCCAGCAGCAGCAGCCCCTGGAGCAGCCGCCCCAGCAGCAGCCGCCCCAGCAGCAGCCGCCCCATGAGGAGCAGCCCTAGCAGCAGCAGCCCCTGGAGCAGCCGCCCCAGCAGCAGCAGCACCTGGAGCAGCCGCCCCAGCAGCAGCAGCCCCTGGAGCAGCCGCCCCAGCAGCAGCAGCCCCTGGAGCAGCCGCCCCAGCAGCAGCTGCCCCTGGAGCAGCCGCCCCAGCAGCAGCAGCCCCTGGAGCAGCCGCCCCAGCAGCAGCAGCCCCTGGAGCAGCCACCCCAGCAGCAGCAGCCCCTGGAGCAGCCGCCCCAGCAGTAGCAGCCCCTGGAGCAGCCGCCCCAGCAGCAGCAGCCCCTAGAGCAGCCGCCCCAGCAGGAGCAGCCCCAGCAGCAGCAGCCCCTGGAGTAGCCGCCCCAGCAGCAGCAGCCCCTGGAGCAGCCGCCCCAGCAGCAGCCCCTGGAGCAGCCGCCCCAGCAGCAGCAGCCCCTGGAGCAGCCGCCCCAGCAGCAGCAGCCCCTGGAGCAGCCGCCCCAGCAGCAGCCGCCCCTGGCCCCTGCAGCAGCCGCTCCTGGACCCGGTGCAGCCGTGGGGGGGTGGGTGTGGGGGTGATGGTTGTGGGGGTGTCGGTTGTGCGTGCCGTCCCCTTCTCCTCCTCCTCCTTCGTCTCCCACTGCTGCAGCTATCGCTGAGGGGGGTGGATGTGTGGGAGTCTGGGGTTTAGGGTTTAAGGGGGTGCTGTGGGTGTAGGGCTAGGGTTTGAGCAGGGGGTGTGTGAGAGGGGCGTTGGGCAGCTGGGGGAGGTTGAGTGGAGGCAGCAGTCTTGTCGTCAGCAGCTGCAGCAGTCCGGAGGCTACAATCTCCGGTAGTCGCCAGTCGCCCGTGGGTCCGTTGCTCGTCTGCCGCTACTTTTAGCCGCGGGGCCAGTTACTCCAATAGTCCGGAGCACTGTTCCGGTAGCCACTAAGCCAGCAGCTCGTCTGTGTGTCTGCAGCGTCAGCAGTCGCCTCCCATCTTCTCTCCTCCACAGTCTCTCCTCCTCCTCACTTGCCCTCTGTGATTAGCTCTAGCCTTACTTACCTATTGTGAACTCTTGCTCTATGCTTGCTCATTGTGCTGATTACACCCCACTTTGGCTATGGGGGTGTGTCAGAATGTATTTGCTGTCTAGCTTGCAGTGGGGTACTCTGTAATGAGTACAACCCAATTTAGGGTGTTGTACTTGTATCCCAACTCTTGTTAGTGAATCACATTCTCTCCTTTCAACTTTCTCGACATTTTCCTTACACCCTAAAACCTAAGCTACTAAGGCACCTAAACTATGGCTTCTAAGCCTACTACACTCTATAACTTTAATAGGGAGATCGAGCTGGGTTGGGGGTGAAGCGATGGGTGGGGGGATCGAGAAGAGTTGGGGGAAGCGATTTGCGCAAGCAGCGTCGGTGGAATGTTTCTGTGCTAAACCCGGCCAGCTCTGCACTTTTTGTTACTGTTTCGCCTCGCCAGTTCAGCATTGGTATGTGAATTGGCGAACCGCACAGAGAAGGCGGCTCGCCATTTCAGAGAGCATCTGCTGGTACTGTATACATTCCTTCATGGTATCGAGTGTGTGTTCGTTTGCACCAAATCGTGAGATAGGAACACCGTTAGTGCCGTTGCACTGTCGATAGTGAAGATCAACGGCACACAATGGACACGCAACTGTAAAAGAATGAGCTGTACCATTTTGGAAGGATGGTCCGGGAGAAACAACAGGCTCACCAAGGTTGTCGGGAGCAGAATAGGACAAATACTAAGCAGCTTAGCTCAACATTGTGAGGGTGGGCTGCAAGGTACACTTACATATTACACTGTCTCTGTCATATTACAAATCTTGTACATATGAGTGCAATACCATTCCACGTACCCGTACAAGTAGACCTGTTGTAAAGTACGGATTTTTTCAACGACTCTTCATTTATGAGGATTTAGGATGCGCGCACACTCAGTTTCATTGTTCCAACATCATAGTATCTCTTTGCACAATAGGGTATATTTGGTGCTTCCCACTGATATTGTTGTGTCATGGTATCATAAAGCATCGTTTTTTTCTTGGTTGATCACATACACATGTTTGCTTAGTGCCTAAATATCGTTCCTTATTATTCTCTGCCTGCAGAGGTTCAGCACTTGAATCTAAGGTACAACATGTTTGTTGTGCTAATTCGTGTAAACAAGTATGGCTTGCTGCCATAATGTCCTTATTGTTCTCTGCCTGCAAATGTCCAGCAGTTGAATTCAGCGGGGGTTTTGAACTCCTGCCTCTGCCATCAGGCTACTAGCCTCTATGCACCTTTAAAGGCGCCACATGGGACACTTTCAATATCTCCAATCAATTTTGCAATACCATGAAGCACAAACGAACTATTTCTAACAAGGGGTACATTCAAGGGCTCACCTGGGTACTAAGGGCGTGTTCCTACGCCTCTTATCAGACGCACCTCTTGTCAGACTTGTGCGCTTCAATGATTTTTTGGTGCGGTTGAAAGTGATAACGTGCGTTACAGAGTGGTCCAACGCAAGTCTGACAAGAGGATTCCTTAATACGAGGCCGTAGGAACACACCCCGAGGTTTTGGGAAGGACTGAAAACGTTCAAGAAGAAATCGTTGACAAATCATTTCCTTGGTTCAGAATATTTTGCACTCACCTTTGTACCACCCTACTGAGTGTATATACAAATAGAAACCCATCTCATTTAGCATTAATACTACTGCTGTTGATCTGGTTGAGATACCTAGTGCTGCATCCTCGGCCTAGTTTCTGCTTGTCAAGCGAACACACCATTGAATGAATCCTATTTAAACACACGTCAACACAAATAACAGAATTGTAAAGGTTGAATGAATCATTTGTTATGCCACTGCGGTTGCTCCTGCTGCTTCTACCGGCGGTTGTGGCGGTAGCAGCGGCAGATGCTGCTACTGCCCCCGGCCCTACCTCATCCGCCCCCACTGATACACTCACTGGCATGACGTGTGCTGCCACTAGATCCTGACATGCGATGAAGATGGTTGACGATGGGTTGAGAGCGGTGAGAGTGGAGGAGGAGGGGATGGAGAGAGCGGGGCGAGAGGAGAGGAAGGAAGAGGGAGGGGTGGAGTGGGGGACCTGAGATGCGCGAGAGGGAGGGAATGCGTAGGAGATGCGCCATACCCTCCTGCAAGCAGGTCACGTAAAACAGGGAGAGCGAGGGGTGGAGAGGGCGAGGGAACATGCAGAGGAGGTATTTAGGAGGGGAGGGAATGAGAGTGGTGAGGATGAGAGAGTGGTAAGGATGAGACTGCAATGGGGACAAGAGCGTGAGGATGAGAATATGGTGGGGATAAAAGTGTGGTGGGAATAAGAGTGTGGTGGGGATAAGAGTGTGGTGGGGATGAGGATGTGCTGGGGATATGAGTGTGTGGGCGATGAGAGTGCAGTGAGGATGAGAATGTGGTGGGGATAAGAGTGCGGTGGGGATGTGTGCCCATGAGATGCGGTGGGGATGTGTCATGAGATGTGTGCCCTATCCGATACATTACACCCTGTTATTTGCAAACCCTTGAGTTGTTTACCCTCTATGTATTATTATTCTAGTATCCATCTGATTGTGCGTAATGTCGTATTGTCATGGCATACGGTGTCGTTGTTCTTCAAGTAACTGCGCAGGTTTGCTTGAATAACTATACTATCCTTCCCTAGTATTCTGTGTTTGCGCAGCATAGATCTAGAAGTAGGATCTAATGCACAAACAGTACCGCCATACCCCGGATATAAGCGCCACCCTCGGATAAGCACCTGGCGCTTTTAATTGGCATGTGGCGCTTATATCCGCTGCTCGATTATAAGCGCACCCCCTGAAAAAACTTGTTTTATTATAAGCGCACGTAAACATCAAATCTTAAAATATGTTCAATACACTATAACGATTTTTACTTTAGCAGGCGGATGTGTTGCAGATTCAGTTCCCTTCACATTCGGACCCTGCACTCGATGCGGGTCCAGTCAGCAGGAGCTGTCAGGAGCTGGATGTGAGTCAGATTGGGTGTATCTCCCAGCGCGCGCGAGAATTTCACAGACGACCCCATGTAACTTCGAATCGATTGAAAAGGCAAGCACGAGATCTACAGTTTGGTGTTAAAAACCATAAAAAATATACATGTCATTTTATAAACGCCGGCGCATATAAATTTACGCGATTTTAAGCCCAACCCCCCAAAAAAACCCGTTTTATTATTGCCCCCCATGGGGGTATATCCGGGGTATGACGGTATGTTCTACTCATTCGTGTGAACAGTTTTGGCTTGCTTACTGCCATCATATAACTCATAATGTTTAATCGACCGGCCGGAGACTTAGGAGGAAAATAATTCAGTGCCAGGTCCACCTTAGCTTGAGTGCTGTATTCGTGGGCGTTAAGCCCCCAACCATGAATCCTTGACATCATTTGGTCTGTAGTGTTATTTCATTTGTTTCCCGTACAAACGCTTGTGCAAAACTGGTGTTCGGGGGGGGATGTTAAAAAATGTTGATACCAATGATACTGATGATCCTGACGCTGATGCTGTCAGAGACCCTGTTTCGCTGCACGTGGGATGAGGGAGGGGGGGAGCGGGTGGAGGGGATGCTAAAAAACGTTGATACTGATGATTCTGATGCTGATGCTGATGCTGTCAGAGACCCTTTTTCGCTGCATGTGGGATGAGGGAGGGGGGGAGGGGGTGGAGGGGATGCTAAAAAACGTTGATACTGATGATCCTGATGCTGACGCTGATGCTGTCAGAGACCCTGTTTCGCTGCACGTGGGATGGATGGCGGGAGCGTGGGGGCAGGTGACTTTTGAGTCGCGTGTGAAATGCTGATGCCAACAATCCTGATGCTGTTAGAATCCCTGTTCCGCTGCATGTGGGGTGGATGAAGGTTGGGCAAAGCACACCTGAGAGTGCATTTGAGATCACACCTGAGAGTGCACTTGAGAGCACACCTGAGAGTGCATTTGAGAGCACACGTGAGAGTGCATTTGAGAGCACACCTGAGAGTGCACTTGAGAGCACACCTGAGAGTGCACTTGAGAGCACACCTGAGGGTGCATTTGAGAGCACACTTGAGAGTGCATTTGAGAGCACACCTGAGAGTGCATTTGAGAGCACACCTGAGAGTGCATTTGAGAGCAGACCTGAGAGTGCACTTGAGAGCACACCTGAGAGTGCACTTGAGAGCACACCTGAGAGTGCATTTGAGAGCACACCTGAGAGTGCATTTGAGAGCACACCTGAGAGTGCACTTGAGAGCACACCTGAGAGCGCATTTGAGAGCACACGTGAGAGTGCACTTGCATTTGAGAGCACACCTGAGAGTGCATTTGAGAGCACACCTGAGAGTGCATTTGAGAGCACACCTAAGAGTGCATTTGAGAGCACACAGGAGAGTGCATTTGAGAGCACACCTGAGAGTGCACTTGAGAGCACACCTGAGAGTGCACTTGAGAGCACACCTGAGAGTGCACTTGAGAGTACACCTGAGAGTGCACTTGAGAGCACACCTGAGAGTGCATTTGAGAGCACACCTGAGAGTGCATTTGAGAGCACACCTGAGAGTGCATTTGAGAGCACACCTGAGAGTGCATTTGAGAGCACACCTGAGAGTGGATTTGAGAGCACACCTGAGAGTGCACTTGAGAGCACACTTGAGAGTGCACTTGAGAGCACACCTGAGGGTGCATTTGAGAGCACACCTGAGAGTGCATTTGAGAGCACACCTGAGAGTGCACTTGAGAGCACACCTGAGAGTGCACTTGACAGCACACCCGAGGGTGCATATTTAGCACACCTGAGAGTGCATTTGAGAGCACACCTGAGAGTGCATTTGAGAGCACACCTGAGAGTGCACTTGAGAGCACACCTGAGAGTGCACTTGAGAGCACACCTGAGAGTGCACTTGAGAGTACACCTGAGATTGCACTTGAGAGCACACCTGAGAGTGCATTTGAGAGCACACCTGAGAGTGCATTTGAGAGCACACCTAAGAGTGCATTTGAGAGCACACCTGGAACGCACTCCTGGACAGTTCTTCCACGTGCAAGGGAGTAGGGGAGATAAGAAGACATCTGCCAAGGAGGGAGCAGAGCCTCGTCCCCTCAACACATGGATCCTAGACTCCGGAGCAGCACAACATATGACCCCGAGGGCGAACCTGCTAGACAAAATTGGTGTGACATGCATCACTGAGATTAATTCAGGGTGCGGACATAAGATGAGAGTGATGGGGGTCGGCAAGACAGCCTTCAAAGGAGCTGATGGGAAGCCGATCGTCCTGGAAGACGTGCTCTTAGTACCTCATTTCCTTGAGGAAAATGGGGCTTGCAGGGGTGTGCACAACAACTAATGGAGCTGAAACATTCGTGGGGCAGCTCGGTGATTGTGTGCTGTGGGACATGCATGAGGAAAAAGACTTGCGCGGCGATTTGTGGCATGTGCCGGTGGTGCCATGGAGTGAGGTGGCACCTGAAAAGGAGAATGGGGTTTGCATCTGCAAGGGGGAGTGTGCTGCGGTGGCTGCTGAGACGATTAAGGAGCTGAAAACTACTGTGGAGCTGCTGGTGCAGGAGCTGCACCAAGTCAAAGCTCGACTTGCAGCAGCTGAAAAGAAAGATGCATCCAGTGCTGATAAGAAGAAGGGTGCAGAATCCAGGGGGAGTGAAGTGAAAGGTGCTGCTGTGAACAAGGAAAAGAGAGTATACTAGGGTGGCACTCGAGGGCAGCTGAAGCCTAAAATCTCGGTGCAGCCGAAGGATGCAGCTGTGACGGAGAAAACGATGGTGTTGAATGTGGCAAGCGCTGCAGCTGGTGTGACTGAGGTGAAAGGGGAACCTAAGGTGAAGCTGGGCTTGGAGGAAGAGGACAAGACCCTGGAAGGTAATGATATTACCTCGGTGAAGCTACAAGTAGATGATGTCATGAAAGCTGAAAGTGTGAGGGAGCATGTGGCAACCTTTCCTAAAACTGGAGTTGGGATTGGCAAGGTAGCAGAGCCGATCAATCGTGAGGAGCTGGCTGAAGGAGTTGAATAGCCGTCAGGTTGAGGGGGAGTTTGTTGGGTGCAAAATGTATTTTGCACTTCAACCTGTCGCTTACTTGTCGAGCAAGGTGAAATTTGAAGGTTTTGTTTTACGGTAATTTGTGGTTTGTGTGATGCGCATTTGTGTGCTTTTCATTCTGGCGTTTACGGTTCATGAATCGCTTTAGCGGTTCATAAGTTATGTTTGTTTCTGTGATGTTGCATTCATGAGCATTCATGACTGTTCGCGTGTGTTTCGTGAGTGCATGCAAGGAGTTTCGGATTTTCTTGAGTGTTCGAGGTGTTTCATGAAGTTCCGAATGTCCATGAGTGTTCATGGAAATTCGCGTCTTGTTCTTGAGTGTTCGCGTACTGTTCGTGTGAGCTTCATGAGCGTTCATGTATTTTCATGTTCATTCATGTGCGTTCATGACTGTTTATGTTTCGTTCATGAATGTTCCTGTTTTTATTCGTGTATTTTTCAAGAGTGTTCATTGTGTGAGTCGAGTGTGCCGGGGAGGTGGGGCTCGATGTTTGACCGAGCCCTTTGACCAGTCTCGAGCTGGTCAAAGAGCGCGCGACTGTCAGGACCCGAGCGTGAGGTCCTGATATGCGCGTGTTGGCCCTCAGGCCCACGCGTGTGACTGGGCACTGTTTTGCGAGGGCACAAGGCCCATGATCGCAACGTGACAACGCACGTTTGTGCGCTGTAAAGCACGACCGAAATATCGGTCGTGCATGATTGCGCACCTGAGGGGTGCGCGTGTGTTTCAGGGGGTGCCGCGGGATCCTGGAGGGAGCTCGGGAATTGACTCGAAATTTCAGTTGAAAAACTGAAATTCGAGTCTTGTCTTTTGTGACGTGGCACAAGGACATTTCGCCAGAAGCTGCGCATTTAAAGGTAACAGTTTTCCTACAGGTACGAAACGGTGAAAACCCGTTTTACAGCTGTACAGTTTCGGGAAAACGGTAATCCCACACGAGGGAACATGATTCTACATGTACGTTCATGATCGCTCGCGAGAGGAGTCAGCAGGGGCGTTTGGAGGAAGTTCAAATTGGATGTCGTTTTTCTACAGAGGCGGATCAAGCCAAACGCAGCAGCTGTTGGATAACCGTTTTCACATGCAGACTTGGTGAAGTCCTGGAAATGCAGTTTTGTCAAATGTTATATCTGCTACAGTTTGTTTAGGCTGTAGTGGGGTAGCTACTATGGGGTACAGTAAGTTTAGGGTTTCCTACTTGTACCCAACTCTTTCATAGTTCAATCACTCTTGTTCATTATGACATGGTATCACGAGCCTAGGTTAGCCACCTAGGACCGCTTACTAGTACGGGCCCACTATTCCGCTAGAAGCGCCCTTGTGCGCCCTACCATACATGCGCCCTCGTGCGCCTTTCTCTGCTCGTGCGCCCTCGTGCGCCTTCTTTCTGCTAGTACGCCCTCGCGCGCCTCTCTCTCTCACGCTGCCCGTGCGCAGCCTGCTAGCCGCCCGCGCGCGGCCTTTTTTTTAGCGCGTGCAACCCGCTAGCCGCCCGCGCGCGGCCTGTTTCTAGCACGCGTAGGCCGTTAGCCGCCCACATGCGACCAGCACCGCCCGCGCGCAGCCTACGCCGTCCTCGTGCGGCCCCGCGCGCAGCCGCGGCCCGTATGCAACAGCAACCTACGCGCAGGCCCACCGTCGCGCCGCCCTGCCTGCCTGAGCCGCGCAGCCCTGCTGTGCCGCGCTGCCCCACCTACAGCCACTGGTGCCCCTATTACTGCTGCTTTCTGCAGCCCGCACGCCGCTTTCTGTCTACCTGCGCGCCACTTTCTGCCTACCCGCGCACCGCTTTCTGTCTACCCCCGCGCCGCATTCTATCTGCCTGGGCGCCACTTTTTGCCTACCCGCGCGTCGCTTTCTGTCTACCCGCGCGCCGCTTTCTGTCTACCCGGGCGTCGCCCCCGCTCGTCGCGACGCCCCTGCGGGGCCCATGCGGCGTCGCCCCTGCCCGCCGCATCGCCCTGCCCTACCCCGCGCCCGCCCTTTGGATGGCCGCCCCTGCCCCACCCTACAGCAACTGCCGTCGCGGACTGCCCCACCCTGAAGCAGCTGCCGTCGCGGTCTGCCCCGCCCTGCAGCAGCTGCCGTCGCGGCCCTGCCCCACCCTGCAGCAGCGACCGTCGCGGCCCTGCCCTGCCGCTGAAGTGGCCCCGCAGTCGCCTCCGTCGTGCGCCTGCCCTTCCCACCACTGGTGAGCACTGCCCTGCCCGCGCTGCTACTGCTACTACTGCTGCTACTGCTACTGCTGCTACTGGCGTGGCCAGATGCAGCTCCAAGGCCGTCCGCGTGTGTCCCTCACGCCCCAGCAGCTTCTTGTAGTGGCCCGGTGCAGCAGCAACGTTGTCCGCGCGAGACTCTTTCGCCCCAGCAGCTTCGTGAGTGGTACGCTCAGAGTAGAGGGTTGCTGAGTACTGCTCGCTACCCGTACGTTATTAGCACGGGTGTCCGGACTGGTCAGCCTTGCGGGACGCGTGGTCACACAGAGTCCCGCTGCTTCGCCCGTCTGAGCAACGCTTGGTGTGCAGAGTTTGGCGACGATGATGAGCTCCCCGACTGGGTGGAGCTGCTGAGGCAGAGGGTAGATATCTTTGCTCTTGACTAAAATGCTATTCTCACTGCAATGTATATATTGTCTACTAGTGCCGAGGGAGCCTGTCACCTGTGTGTGCCGCCTGACCCCGGTATCCAGTCTGCTGCTCCAGGTGCCGGTGAGGCTGCCGCTCTAGGTGCTACTGCGTCTGCTGCCCCGGGTCCTGGTGAGGCTGCTGCTCTAGGTGCAGGTGTGTCTGCTGCTTCAGGTGCTTGTGAGTCTGCGCCTTCAGGTTCTGCGTCTATTGAGGCACTGCACACCTTCACACTGGACTCAGGTGCTTCCCGCTGTTTCTTTCGCGACCGGACTGCCCTCGAGCAGCTCCCTAGGCCGGTTGCTGTCTCCCTGGCTAACCCCTCAAGGGATCCGGTCCGTGCGACCTCCACCACTGCCCTCCCTTGTCCTGCTGTCCCGTCCGGCACACTGTCGGGCCTTTACCTCTCCTCGTTCTCTATGAACTTGGTGGCGGGATCCGCGCTCCAGGACGCGGGTGTTCACCATTTCGCCCCTACCTACGAGCGTGTGACACACTGCACGTGTGCCCAGACGGGTCATCACCTGGCTACCTTCACTCGGCAGCCGGGGTCGGACTTGCACATACTGACCACTGAGTCCCCTCAGGTAGTGGCATCTGCGTCTGCATCAGGTCAGTTGTCCGCCCCCTGCTCGTGTCGCACCCTGTCGCACCGGACGGTCCTCTGGCACCACCGCCTTGGTCACCCTTCGATGCAGCGCCTTCGTGGCATGAACTTTCGCTTCCTTGTCCCTGGTCTCCCCAGGTCACTGCCTCCCCTGCCACCGTCCCCTGCCCCTCCCTGCCTTCCCTGTGTCGAGGGGCGGCAGCGTGCCACCCCTCACTCCTCTGAGTTCCCCCCGACGGTGGCTCCTCTGCAGACCCTTCACATGGACGTGTGGGGCCCAGCCCGCGTCCGTGGACAGGGTGGAGAGCGCTGCTCCTGCTGGTAGTTGACGACTACACGCGTTACACCACGGTCTTCTCCTTGTGCACCAAGGGAGAGGTCCTTGCTGTCTTGATCCCTTGGATCTGCGCTACCCGTCTCCAGCTGGAGAGGCGCTTTCACACGGACCTTCCCGTCCTGCGACTGCACTCTGACAGAGGTGGTGAGTTCTCCTCCGGCCTCTTGGAGGCCTTCTGTCAGGGGGAGGGCATTGAGCAGACGTTCACGCTTCCGGCCTCTCCTCAGCAGAATGGGGTTGCTGAGTGCCGCATTGGCTTGGTCATGGAGGTCGCTCGAACCTCCTTGGTCCATGCGGCTGCCCCCCATTTTCTGTGGCCGTTTGCGAGCCGGTACGCCGCGCATCAGCTCAACCTCTGGCCCCGTGTCTCTGTTCCGGAGACCTCGCGGACACTACGTTGGACGGGAGAGGTTGGCGACGCGTCTGTGTTCCGGGTCTGGGGATCTCGTGCCTTTGTCCGCGATACGTCCGCGGACAAGCTCTCCTCCCGCGCCGTTCCTTGTGTCTTCCTGGGCTTTGTCCCTGACGCGCCTGGCTGGCAGTTTTACCACCCCACCTCTCGCCGTGTCTTCCCCTCTCAGGACATCACGTTTGACGAGTCGGTCCCCTTTTACCGTCTCTTCCTCTACCGCACTGCCCCGCTACCCCCTCCGCCGCTCTTCCTCACGCCAGGTGCTGCTTCGGTAGACCCCCCGCCTCCCCAGGGTCCTGCTCCCTCAGGTGTTTCCCAGGTAGACCCGATCGAGCCTGTCAAGGTAGCTGTTGACTCTGGTCCTGCGCGAGGTGCTGAGCGTGCTGAGCCTAAGCGTGCTGAGCCTGGTGGTGCTGGGTTTGGGGGTACGGAGACTGGGGGTGCTGGGCCTGGGGGTGCGGAGACTGCAGGTGCTGAGCCTAGGGGTGCGGAGCCTGGGGGTGCTGAGCCTGGGGGTGCTGAGCCTGGAGGTCCTAAGCCTGGGGGTGCTGCGCCTGGGGGCGCTCTCTCTTCCTAGCAGCTGCATGAGTGGTACTCTTGGTACTGTCGCCGCCGCAGTGGTGCTGTGGGCACTGGAGGTGCTACTGGAGCTGGAGCTGCGGGCGCTGGGCCTACTGGAGTAGGTGTAGCTGCTGACCCTGGGGTTGGCGCTGGAGGTGCTGGAGCCACTGGTCCTGGAGGTGCTTGTAGTGGCGGTACTAGAGCTGCTGGGACTGGAGGTGCTACTGGTACTGGGGCTGGTGGCGCTGCCGAGGCTGGAGCTGGAGGTGCTGACGCTCGTCCTCCTGCAGGTGCTGGAGCCGACGGTGAGGCTGGA